CGTCACTCCTTAGGAAGTGCAGTGTGTGCGTCCCTCGGGCGTTGTCGGACAAAGCATCGGCAGATTGCTGTCTGTTGTAGGCTGCATTTATAATTTACGTATTTCAAGTGTCCTGGTGATACTCGGCATGAATTGAGACGGTAGAGAGGGGGGAGTTGTTGGCTTTGATGTGTTTCCCAGGTGCGTTTCTTCAGCCTCCTAAGACCACTTTGTGGTCATAGCTTGAATGTTCTGAAATTTATAATACTGTTTCTCAGCTACCTTCAGATCACTTTATTTATCTCAATAAACTAATTATGTTTGTGACTGATACTGATAAAACCAGAATAAAGCACATCTACCAAAAACCACTTTATTACGATTTTTACATTCCCAAATGCTTTCCCGTGGATGGAAGAACTGGCTCTGACTTAGGAGAAGCCTGTGCTGGGTCAGAAAGGACCTCAGCCTCATCCTCGGCACCCTTGGCACCATCTTCAGGCCTCGCTGACCCAGCACGAGCCCCAGGTGGGCAGGGCACCTCGTGGAGCCGAGAATGCAGGAGCCCGTAGGCAGGGATAGTGTGATGTCTGGCGTGTGCTATTCAACACGGTGAGCACCATTAGGGAAGAAACCCTCCAATATAGTAGTTCTTTTTCTTTTTTAACTTTCTTTTTAACTTAAAAAAAGGTAGCTGTGGGTTGCATGTACTCACTGGGGATGGAGGAGTGAGCAAGTACCTCCCCCAGGGTGGGTGGCCATGTCACAGTCCCTTCTCCTTCGTTCTCTTGGGGTTTGGGGCACACACACACACACATGCCCAGCATATGTTTTAAGCCTCCTGGTCCAGTACTTGAACCGCACAGCCAGCCATGTGGGACCCAGCCACCCTAACCACCATACTGCCTTCTGGCCCCAGTGTGGCATCTCTTCATAAAGCTTTGTGGCCTTGCAAAGCTCCAGCCCCATGCCTCGCTTCACACACGAGCAGAAACCCTGCTGCTGGGGTCTGCTGAGGTGGCTGGCACGGTCTTTACTGCCCCTTGCATCGTGGCTGTCTCATCCCCGCTGAGGTCAAAGCGTCCCCACTGTGCTGCTCCATTCATTGTCTGGTCATTGGTCTGGGCACTCCCTCCCGCCACAGAGCCAGCCCGCCACAGGTGCCTCATCTCTGCAGGAGGGATGAGGTCCATTTGGGCAGGGAGAGATCGTGGCCTTCTGGTAATTTGAGAACTGCATAAAATAACTCCTTTTGGGGACCAGCAGTTGGCGTAATGTCTATGTCACTGAACTCTCATGTAGTCGACCGTGGTTCGAGTCCCAGACCCGGTAGCTTAAACTCAAGCCAGGCGCATGTGTGTGCCCAAGATCCCGAGAGAAGAATGGAGGAGAAGGGATGGCGTGGCCATCCCCCAGGGGGTGACTTCTCACTTTCTATCTCTTTGTCTTTCTGGTGAGCACACCTACCCTATAGCAAAAACCTCTCCCCCCCAAATAATAATAATAACAACTCCTTTTTTCTTTACGTTAGTGATATAACCATTGTACGAAACTGGGGGGAAGTGAAGGGAAGACATTCTGACTTCCTTGCTGCAGCACCAGAAGTGGTCATGGTAACCCTGATGTCCGTCCCATGCCCAGAAAGGAGTGAGAGGGCTGTGGCTTTCGTTCTGTCACTCCGAGGGCCAGCTCGGGCTGTGTTCGTGCCTGCCTCCGGCATCTTGAGAACAGGCTGCGCGCCAAGGGAGGGCTCTCTCCCCTGTTGGCGTAAGTCCCCGCACCCTTGGCAAGACGGCAGGTCTTTGACACTGGCTCCACTGGTCGGCTGCTATCTGTGTAAGAGGGGCTGGCCCGAAGTCAAAGCACCAGTGGGAGAGCCAGGCATTTCTGGAACCTGATCGTGTGTGAGCAGAACTGCCTGCATCGTGCCGGGAATGTCCAGATCTACGTTCAGGCATCAGCTCCTTTGCCTGAGAGCTCAAGGACAAGCACCCTGCGAACACTGTAAGTGCCGATGCGGGCCACACAGCGCCGAGGGGCATGCCTTCTGTGGTTTGGGTGACGAGGTCTAGCTGACGCCTGGCCTTCCCAGCCTGACCCCAGTCCGCTCGCTGCAGGCAGGGCTTGGGGACGCTGCTGTGCTTTTCTGCTCCGACTGGCCTTACTCGTAAGCCCCTCGGCCTCCAAATGGCGTGACCGTGTCCTTTTGCAGCAATTAGAATGAAGGTCAGCGTTTTCCTGAGTTCAAGTAACTAGGCAGACATAGTTGTCATTTTCTGAAGTTTCTTTTTTGTTTTATTTAACTTTATTTATTCTTTCATTTTATTTTTAATTTGACCAGAGAGAGAAAGCAAGCCGCCAGGTCCAGGACTCGAACCATGGTCAGCCATGTGGGAGTGTCCAGTGTCTTAACCACCACACCACCTGCTGGTCCCTGAAGTTTATTTTTATTCACGATAGAGAGCATGTATATGTGCACTAGGGGGAGACGGCACCGGATGAGGTCCCTGTGCCGAGACCCCCGTCCCCTGCCCAGCTCAGCAGGATTCTGGGTATGCGGCCCCATGGCGTACTATAGGTGGACCGCCCGGCTCCACACTGCTGGCCGGGCATTCCCATCGGTGTAGAGGCTGAGCCGGCGCTGTTCCCGGTGCTGCTAGCTCTCCTGCATGGTGCTCACTGCCCTGGTGGGGGCAATTTCTCGCTTTCTGTCTCTCTGTCTCTCTGTCTCTCTGTCTCTCTGTCTTTCTGGTGAGTGCACGCACCCTATAGCATCCCCAAAAAAAAAAAAAAAAAAACAAAGCCAGCACATGGTGACGGGTGAGCAGTCTTGCTCTGGAACCCAGGCCACAAAACACAGCCACTCTGCCTCCTTTAGGCCACCAGCCACCTTTATTGAGTGTTGGCAGTTGAAGAGACGTTTCTGGTGGCGGTGTGATCGCAGGCAGGAACACAGGGCCGCGGGCTCCCAGGTGACCCCGTTATATTCATACACGTCTCTTGTCACTGACATGAAAACAGTTTATCTGCACGAGCTTTGCAGGTAATTTATAGTTTCTTGCGATAACAAATGCAAGGAGAAGCATTTGGATCTGGAAATTTGTTTTGGGAATTGTAAGGAAGAATTTAGACAGGTGTCGAAACATAAGATGATTGCAGTCACTCACGTCTTTATATAAATGATGTTTACTGAACCCTGCCTCCCAAAGGAAGTAGGTGTGAGTTACGCAGGCGTGTTTACAAAACGGAATCACCTCTGACAGTAAACGCACGTGGAGACAGGCCTGCGTGCCTCGTGTGGGGGTGTGTGGGCGCCGTCTTTCAGGTGAGGTGGGTTGTTTGGTAGTATCTAATACGACGCACAGAGGGTACCCGTGTACTAAGAACACTGCACATAGCATCGAAGCAAACCAGTGAGTTGAGAAGGTGCAGAAGCACAGTTGTTCCCACTGAACACTGAAAGGAGCTGTGAGCTTGCTTCCAAGCACGGTGAAAGGCGTAGTGAGTTTCTGTAGTTCCCAAATAGCTTATGGGAAACGTGTACTATTTAAAAGCTGTGCGTGGCTTCAGGATTTTTTTGCACCAAAATAAACTCATACTTCTTAGTTAAGTTTGTTTAATTTCTTTATTGTTTTCATGAATGAGAGAGAGAGAGACGGCACTCAACTAGGATCTTGGTGCTGCGGCACTCACGCGCACGCCTCAGCCAGCCCTGACCACGGCACGGGCATGCATGCGCCCGACAGACCTCAGGAGGTCACCCAGAACCTTCCCATGTGGGCTGGACTCAGAGCAGGGGTTGCACTGCCGCAGCTCCGTCCAGCCTGAGTGCAATGTCAACACCACGCTCCATGCCTCAGGCCCCTCGGTCCGTCTTCCTTCCCAGCCCGCTCCCAGGCCCAGGGCCGTCTCCAGCGCCCCCTGCAAGTGCCCCCTGCATGGTGCCTGTCTGCTCCTGGGACAGCCCCACTCAGTGTCAGCTGAGCCTGGTACAGAGGGTGCAGGAGCATCGAGCCACACAAGGAAAGTTCGTTTTTAGAAGGTTCAGAATTTTTGTTTTTGTCAACAGCAAACAAAAACATTTTAGACCAGCAGGTGGTGTCGAGGTTCGAGTGCTGGATCGCACAGGGCCGACTGTGTGGACGGGGTCCCGCACCCGGCAGATTAAAAAAGCACACTGTCTATGCATGCATGCCCCAAATCCCAAGGAACTGCAGCATAGCCATCCCCTGGGGGTGGTTTCAGTTTCTCTCTCACATGTGACAATTGTATCCGGGTGCCAGGATGCTTTTTTTTGTCATAAACGAATACATAAAACTTACTAATGGAAAAAATCTACATAATGGGTTATCTGCATTGTAGTGGTAGGTTTTTGTGGGGGGGGAGGGGGAGGTTTTTGCTATAGGGCGTGTGCGCTCACCAGAAAGAGACAGAGAGACAGAAAGCGAGAAATCACCCCAGGGGGATGGCCATGCCACAATCCCTTCTCCGTTCTCCTCTCGGGACCTTGGGCATGCACGCACACGCGCCCGGAGTTAACGTGCTTTTAACTGCCAGGGGCCGTGAGGGCACAAGCGAGGGAAAGAGCCCTCGGCAAGGTGTGGCCTCACTGTAGGCCCTTCTCCATCTCTCCTCCTGTGGGATTTGGGGCACATGTGCCCACCCGGGGTGTCCCTCGGGCCTCCAGAAGGGGATGTACTGCAGTTGGCTATATGGGATCTGGCCTCCTTAACCACTGACTGTGGGGCCAGCACAGAGCTTTTTTTTAACGAGAGAATTATTGGGACCGGAAGATGGTGTGATGCTTATCGCTAGACTCCCACATAGTCAACCGCGGTTTGAGTCCTAGACCCATCAGCTTAAAACGCACAGCAGGTGTCTGTGCTTGTGTACCCCAGATCCCCAGAGGACAGTGAGGGAGAAGGGACTGCAGCATGTCCATCCCCTCTGGGGGGTGAGTTCTCGCTTTCTCTTTTTCTGCCTCTCAAGCGAGCACATGTACCCTATAGCAAAAATCTCTCTTAAAAATAATTTATTACTATCATTTTAAAAATTTAATACCCAGATGCCACTTTGAGGGGTCCCCAGTGTGGGGTGCTGAGGGAAGGTTCCAGGAGCTGGTGAGGGCCTTGGGTGCAGGCTCTGACCTGCAGCTCTTCACCAGCAGGGAGGGGGACGTTCTAGGCGGTGTCCCCTGCCCCCCCGTGCCAACTGCTGCCACCTGAGAAGCGTGGCAGTGTGGTGGACCGTGCCCTCTGACCTGCCCTGTTCTTAGTTGGGGAGCAGTGGAGGTCATGGCACCCCCCCTGCACCCACAGTTTACATCGTGCACAGGCGCTGGCCCGGCCTCAGGGCCTGTGGGTGCGATGGGGCAGGCCTCCCTTCCATTTGCAAAGGCGGGTGTCTCTTTCCGACAGTGGGCAGGACCCCTTAGTGTTAGTGAGAAGGAGCCTAGAAAATTCAGGACTTGATATTCATTGAACATCAGAATCTCCTCAGGTATGGATTCTATGCAAGAGTCTTTCCTCAGGAGGACAGCCCCGAGCAGTTATGAGCACAGAGGAGTGAGTTGTGGGGAGCCAGATTCCAGCTGCGGTGCTAGCAAGTGGGGCTCCCTTGGGGACACCCTGCAGAGCCGGAATCCAGGGAGTGAGATCTGCGTGTGTGGTGGTCGCTTTTGTGCTGGGCCCTATTAAAATTCTGGAAACGGCTGAGTCTTCCCTTTCTCTTTGGTGGGACCACCCTAAGTTAGTGAATATTTTGTCTGTTTTATGTTTGCGGCATGATTTGGACAGAGCTGTGACAGGTGGCTACTCCCCCAGAGAAAGCTGTACAGCAAGAATGGTAGCTATTTCCGAGTGGCCTACGCAGTGCCGCTGGTCCCCCATCAGTGAGAAGAGCCAGCTGTGGCAGTCAGTGCCTCTGCGTGTCCCCCACATTCTTAGCCCTGCTTCTACCCCCAGAGATCTCAGGAGCCCCACCCACCTGGAAGTTACTGGCTTTCCAAGTGTAACCGTCCTGGCCCAGCAGTGGGTTCATTCATTTATTTAATTTGACTGGAGAGAGACACAGAGAAAGGAAGCCACCAGGTCCAGGACCCGAACCGTGGTTGGCCATGTGGAATATCCAGTGCCACAGCCCCGAGCAGTTATGAGCACAGAGGAGTGAGTTGTGGGGAGCCAGATTCCAGCTGCGGTGCTAGCAAGTGGGGCTCCCTTGGGGACACCCTGCAGAGCCGGAATCCAGGGAGTGAGATCTGCGTGTGTGGTGGTCGCTTTTGTGCTGGGCCCTATTAAAATTCTGGAAACGGCTGAGTCTTCCCTTTCTCTTTGGTGGGACCACCCTAAGTTAGTGAATATTTTGTCTGTTTTATGTTTGCGGCATGATTTGGACAGAGCTGTGACAGGTGGCTACTCCCCCAGAGAAAGCTGTACAGCAAGAATGGTAGCTATTTCCGAGTGGCCTACGCAGTGCCGCTGGTCCCCCATCAGTGAGAAGAGCCAGCTGTGGCAGTCAGTGCCTCTGCGTGTCCCCCACATTCTTAGCCCTGCTTCTACCCCCAGAGATCTCAGGAGCCCCACCCACCTGGAAGTTACTGGCTTTCCAAGTGTAACCGTCCTGGCCCAGCAGTGGGTTCATTCATTTATTTAATTTGACTGGAGAGAGACACAGAGAAAGGAAGCCACCAGGTCCAGGACCCGAACCGTGGTTGGCCATGTGGAATATCCAGTGCCTTAAACACCACGCCACCTGCTGGCCCCCCAAGTTTCTTTGTGACGAAACAGATTTGCCCTCTTGCTGATGGCTCACTGCCCTAAGAACGCACTTCATGGCTTAGCCTTGCCCTTTAGCAACCCCTGTGGTGGCCCTGGAGCAGAGACCACCAGCTCTGCCCCTCCAGCTCACAGCGTGGGCCGCCTTCGGGAGCACCAGGCCCCTTTTGGAGAGACACTTGTCCTTGGGCCCTTGTTTCTTCTCGTGGTCAAGTGAGAAGCTTGGGCTGGACGCCTTCACGGTTCTCCTCCCCGTGAGACCCGCAGTGTTTTAGGAGCGGCAGCCCGCTTCGCAGTTAGAACCACGGCGGTGCCGCTCACCTCGGGTCCTTACATCAGGACTCAGACACGGGCAGGGCGGCCATGAGGCTCGGCGGAGGCACCGAGACTGCAGGGCAGGCCAGCGGGCGGCTCGGGCACCTTTCTTGGCTGACTGTTGGGAAGACCCTGGTGGCAGGTGAGTGGCTGAGTGGGGCACTAGCCCGGCTGCAGCCTCACTGGGTGAGGGCCTCGTGTGTGGACGGCACTCGGTTAGGAGATGTGCTTTCCTGCAGCTCACCCAGCTCTGAGTTGCTGCCACAGGTAACTTCCTAGCTGTTGTGCGGCGCGGCGTCCGCCGCAGCCTCTCTGCCGTGCTTGTCAGCACTCAGGTTTCTTGCCCAGCAGGTGGGAGAAGTGTTGTTTTTGTGAAGAGCTACATCCTGGTATGCTTTTACTGATAAAAGGTGTTTCCTACAAGGACTGAGTGTGTGTCCAATTTGACTCTCAAAAGCAGTACTATGCTGCTCCATGCAGGTGGGCAGATGGCTGTCCCACTGTGGGGTCAGGGACTGGACACTGCTCCATGATTTCTGGTTAGGATGTTGTACTGCCGAAGATTGCAGCGTGGTGTTCTCTCTGGAGGAAAAGCCACGCAGTGTGGAGCAGAGCCGCTCATGCGCTCAGGTACCGGAGGGTGCGGGTAACTCTCCAGAGGGCGAGAAAGCGGCCTCCAGTGTGGCATGGCGGGACTGTTCTCAGGCTGCTGGCTCACACTCCCTTCACCTCTAGGCCACAGGGCTAGCCCAAGAGCAGCTGTTTTTGTTTTTATAGTCTCATTGTAGTTGTTGTTAGAGGGCGTGTGCACTCACCGGGAAGAGACCGAGAGGGAGAAAGTAAGCACCAGAGCCGCTCATGCGCTCAGGTACCGGAGGGTGCGGGTAACTCTCCAGAGGGCGAGAAAGCGGCCTCCAGTGTGGCATGGCGGGACTGTTCTCAGGCTGCTGGCTCACACTCCCTTCACCTCTAGGCCACAGGGCTAGCCCAAGAGCAGCTGTTTTTGTTTTTATAGTCTCATTGTAGTTGTTGTTAGAGGGCGTGTGCACTCACCAGAAAGAGACAGAGAGGGAGAAAGTAAGAAATCACCCCGGGGGGTGGGGGGTGGCCACGCTGCAATCCCTTCTCCTCCATCCTCCTCTTAGGAATTTGGGCATGCGTGCACATGCGCCCAGCATGATTTTCAAGCCACCAGGTCTGGGATTTGAACTGCAGGTGGCCATGTGGGAGTCCAGTGCCTTAACCATTATACCACCTGCTGGCCCCGTAGAGCAGCTTTTTACCTGCAAGTTCTTGTGTGGTCTCTTTAGTGGATCCATGCACCTCTTGAAGCTGCACTTCAGCTCTGCAGAGAAAAGGCAAAAGGCTTCTACTTATGGAAACGAGGTCTGCAGCAGAGAGCTGGGGGAGTCTGGAACAAATTTGCTGTTTTCCTTTCTGGTGTTCTGTCCACATTTTCTGTTTGGTTGGCTTTGAAGGATCCAGACGGCTGGCTAGTTGCTTTGAGTCTGTGCGTGTCAGTGCAGAGGGCCCAGAACACGGTTCTGCGGGCACTTCTGGTTAGGCCCAGCCCTGCTCAGAGGCGGCTATGGCCCCAGAATAGCCCACTCCCGTGGGCAGAACTCTGTGGGTATTGCCTTGTCTGCTTCCCTGCTTCCGTGCTGGATAATAGGGGAGGAGCTTATTAAAGAAACCGATGGTAATGCATTAAAATAAAATTGGTGTTTTGTTGCCTCAATTAAGAACAGCTAGTTAAAATAGTTACACTAGCAGTAACTAGTTAAAGTAGAAAGAAAGATTTATTTCTCAAAGATTTGTTTTTTCAAAATACATACCTGCTTTAGTCTAGGTCTTCTTTTTAATACCTGTATAAGGAAATCCGTCCCTGGGGATTTATTCCCAGTGCAGTTTCCCCATCCCTGATAAAGTAGAATGTGTGATTTGCGAGGCTTTGTTTTCAAATAAGTGTGTTCTTCATTTAATCGTGTGGGGAGAGGACTGTCACAGGTATCCTGTTTCGTTGCTGAGGGTTAAGGTAACCACGCTGGCCAGTTTGGCTAGGCTCCTGTTGTGGCTTCGCCATCCCGCCCTGCGGAGTGCAGACTGCCGCTTCTCATCAGCTGAGTCCGGCTGCCTCTCTGCCCCTCAGCGGTGCCCTGGTGCCCTGCCCATGGAGCAGTGCTCCGGGACTGCGGGCTGGGCAGCACAGGGCGGAGACGGTTCCCTGCTGTGTGCGTCCTACTCTGCAGTACGGGAGTGTGGCTCCCCCTTCCCGAAAGTCAGAGGAGGGTTAGAGGACACTGAAGCGAAGAAGCCCTAACCTCACCCAAAGCAGCTTACGCAAGCCGTGTCAGGAAGGGCGTTGATGAAACCACGTTCGTGATTTCATTTGCCCTCTTCTGAACTCTCCAATCTCCCTCTCTTGTAGCTGGTCCGGTGCCCAGAGCCGAATGCTGAGCCCCGCCGTGGCCTCGCCGGTGCCGCCTAACTAGAGGAGGAGCCACCCCATGGCTTCCTGTGACCCGCCGGTGCAGCCTGTGCCGATGCACCGACTTGGCAAGATAGCGGCTGTATTTGATGTTGCGTGTGCTGTCACCTGGGTCTCCCATTGCTGCCGTCACCCCGTCCTGCCAGTCTGAACTCCTGCCTCGTTCCTGCTCCCCCATCGGCCCCACACCCCCACAGCGAATGTCACCCTCGACTCTCACCCCTTGTGCCCTAATCTCGACCTCTAGCACACCTCACTCTGTCCTGAGTCATCAGTCAGCCATCTGCCCTCTTCCTTGCTGGTTGGGGACAGCTGTCAGGTCTTGCCCCCTCGGGTCTCTTCCTCTAGGCACTTGGCGTGTGAATGAAGGGAGGGCGTGGGTGAAGCGAGGCGCTCGCTGGTCTCCCCGAGGGTCCCTGACTGTCCTGGCTTCTGCCCGTGGCCTTACTCAGCACAGTGGGGCACCCAGCTCTCGCTCCAGACACGGCGTCGTTCATCCGGGAGTTTCGGCCAGTGAGGGAGGTTATCTTTACAAGTAGGACAGTTTCAATAGCTGCTCGTAATTCCTTCCTGCCTGGACCTTGATTTTAGAATACTGTGAGATTAGACCTTAAATCACCATAGATTTCTAAGACAAGCAAGGTGGAGGAAGAAGGGAGGAAAGCAAAGGTTTTGCGTGGAGCAGGGCGTGGCTCTCCAGGAGGCCAAGCTGGTGTCTTCCTGGGTTTGGTACCTGTCCGAGGCAGGGAGTGAGAAGGTTTTTCCTGCATTCTAGAGTGTGACTGACCAGGCCTGGGCCCTCAGCTCGGTTTATTAGGACTCGGCGCACTCACGCGGTCTTGTCCTTGTGCGCTTTGGCTTCGTCCAGGGTGTGACCTTTTCAGAGCAGGAAT